CGACTGCCATATTTATGTTTATTTATTTATAGTCCGTATTTCTAGACCAGAAATCTGTCAATCTAGCCAGTAGGGATGTCCACGGCATTCATTTGCATGTGGTTAACATTTATAAATCTATTACAAGGAGGTTTAACACTTACTTAAAATAAAGTCTGATTATCGCATCTCTTAGTAGTACTGTCAAAGGGAGGGGACTCACACTCATCTCCGAGTCTCTTGATGGGAGATATTGCAATGACTGCATATATTCCTCTACTTCTTGAGTCAACTCCGTGTGGGAAGCTCTTTGGTCAGGGCTCTCACCCATGGTCTCGCTAATGTTAATGACCTGTACTCCTGCAGTGTGTTGCTTAGGTGCCCTGGAGAGCTGTCTCCCCCCCGGGGTCACATAGGGTCCCGGCAGGGTTGAGTGCAACTTCTCCTGACTATTCGCATGAGGCACCTTCCAATATCCGTCGGGATCTTCTATACGCTGTCCTCTGTGATGGTGGTGGTGATAACGATGGTGATAATGCTGACGCGATCTCGGGCTAGACTTCGAATGTCTGCCCATTGAGTCGTTCGATATCTCGCTGAATGTGCCGCTTCGCAGTGTGGATTCATCGACGTAGTAAGGCGCTTCTACTGAATCTGCAAGAGTATAGGCCTGACGTGGGACCGTTGCGGGCTGACGACTGTAGACGACGGTATCACCAGCTCTGTAGGTTATGGGTGTCTTACCATACGGTGTAGTGTAGGGTGCATCGGATACAGCTGAACTGTAGACATCGTTGCGAAGATAGACCTTCGGAGGTTGCCCTTGTGTTGGTTGCGGAGACGCCATGGTATTGTGAATGAGCAAACTTCTGCATGATCGCTTCGATGTGCGTGCGTGTGTGTTTCTGGGTTAGAGACTGTGCACGTGCAGGCACTGACCAATCGCGAGCGCGCGGGAGCACATCGATCAGCTGTTTGTGCTGCTGTGCGTGCGCACGCACGTGAGCACACATTGCTGGTGTGCACATGCATTTACTCATTACAACAGAATACGACACCCCCCCCCCACACACACACACACACACAATTAAGTTTTGCCAAGTCCATCTAATTATTTGGTATACAACGTTGCCAACACAAAACAACACAACGGCATGACAGACGGGTGCACAACATAAAAGCCCTTATTGCAGTATCACTCCCCGATCAGGCACAAGAAGTCGCTAGTTGTGTTTGTCATGCACGGTCATCTTCAGAAATTTCAGGTCTACTATCGGAAGCGTACAGTTCCGACACCCTCATTGGTATGGGTAGTTTACTTTGCGCTACGCTACATCCCGTGACTACACCACTACCATAGACTGGTGACCCATTTCAGCACAAAAGTTTGGTGAGCATAAGCATTTAAGAATCACTTTTTCAATTATAAACCGTCAAACGAATAATAATCACATCAGATTTAGGAAATCATGAATCCAAATACATTGCTCTTCCGGGGATTACTTTTGATGATGCTATGTCACTATGACTTCTGTAAATAAAGTGGATCCCAATGTAAATGGCTATCCAAAAATTATGCATAAAAAAGGATGCCTCATTCATTGTGCAATGTCTAACCCAACTCCCCTTCATCTGTTAGGTGTTTAGTTTGTCACAGTCATCATACGGTAGTGTAGGTGAGAATTGTTAGCGATAAAGAAGTGAGAATAGAGTTTGCGCACTTTTTAAAGACTACAGTTTTGAGTTTGAAGATGACTGGAAGAGTTTTCGTGTCAAGGGATGGCATTTCAGCTGGAAGAAAGAGCCCCGAGAAGTTTCATCGATGGTTCAGTAGGTATGTACGAGTGTTTGACCGACCCTACGGCCTATCTACCGCGATTGTTTGCCTGAAAGCCTCTTTCACTAGGGATACACCAAAACCTCTTCTGTTTAATCCAATTTAACCCTTTTCTCATCACTCATCCTCATACACTATCAGGGTTATTTGTCCCCAAAAATAAACAACTCAAAGTGGTTTTGGGGAATGAGGTTTTATGCGTAATTACCCGCATTCTAATAATCGTTTGACAAGACTGACGCTAACATTGATGAAGCAACTTCAAAAGACGTAAGATGCTTTTTTTGTTTTTATTTGATTTGTGATCCCAAGTAATTTCGGCCTTTGGAGCAAGCTTCTCTATGCGACAGGCAAGTGGCAGGCCCAGAATTTTGGACAGAAGCATTAGATTTATCCGGAGAAAACATATTAACAAACATAATAACCGACCCATATGTAATTAATGCTAAGTAACTGAGAGTAGAGCCTGAAATATGAACTAGCAGTCAGATCAACTTTAACTACCAATGAAACAAAGCATGGTCAGCTCAGCAGGTGCCCTGGTTATCCTTGAAATGTATCAACGAAGAGGACCGATGACGAGCGGTCCCACATCCGCAGGTGTCAGGCCCGCAATAGCAGCAAAAAGTGAAACTGGAAGTGGTGAACCCCCACTCCTCCACATGTGGGAAACTAACCTTATTGTAACAAATACATCCACTCCCATTAGCATCCCAGGGACCAATTACCTTGGTGGACCAGGTTTACACGGATTTTCTTGAATGATGCGTTAGGCAATTTATACTGAAATTTAATAAGTAGCAGGTAAACAGCCTCTTTGGTGTTGTAAAAGACAGGTCACATCCGTGACGCGCCAAAACGCTCGTGTTCATCAGAAGAATGATACATGCTACCACACATACCCCAAGCACTTATTCGTCACTATCACTTCCATGTCCAGATGCGCCTCCAGTGAAAGTAGATATCGTTCTTACAAATGAACAATTTGTTGTAAATACATTATCAATACAGCACCCCCATCAAAAGTGGTATTCCGCGGCGGATACTCGTAACGGGAACACCAAAAGGAAAATGCCCCGCCATAGTAAGAGGGTGCGCTGCAACCGTGGTATGGAACCAAATGCCCACGCAATTTTCTGCCCATCGAATGTTGGGCCAATTAGACAACGAAAGGAGAAATTCCCACAGGCTCAATCTCTACGATCCTACAAAAGGAAAGCGGCTGCACCAAAATTTACCTATGCAGTTTGAGTAAAACCTCGTAAATACATAGAATCAAAAAGCGACCGAATAAGATGCGACGAAACAGGTGAATGAAAATGAAGAATGTCAACTCGTACAATAAAAAGTTGGGACATTGTTGTGTTTGTCACCAGTATGCAGTAACATAAGCCTCACCCACATCAGTCAACAATGACGTCGAAAGTTGCATGATTTTACAGTGACTAGAAGGAGTTTACTAGCAAAAGTAGGACGCTCCTTTAAGCGAAATGCTTTGAAGTCGCAATTCTTCAATGAATTTTATTGTACAAAAGATGATAATGGGTCAAACTTGCTCAAATTTATTGCCGCTGGTAATTCAACTTCACTTTTAATCGATTTAAGTCTTTTGCGTGAAGAAGCTTCCCATACTTGTCTAAAATGTAAAAATATTAGTAAAAGTACATAAAATCCAGCAAAAGGTCAAGACGGAAAGGCTTAAGAATCAGGCTTACTGCGTACAATTCGACGTATATTTTGATTATCAGTATTTATCATGATTAAGCTGTTCACAAACTCCTCTTCCTCTTCGGTTAAACATCTTCGTTCATCGGAAGGGACAACCGAGTCAGGACTGACCGCGTGTGAGTGATGCATGCTGTATTTTGAGACCTTCAATCCTGTTGGTTTTAATACAACTTCGAAGTACACGGGACAGCCACACTTGTGAGTCCGCTTGGCACCAGCTGTCCGAGAGTTACCACCAAGGCTGCATATGTATCGCATTCGACGATATCGGAATCGAATTGCATCTTCGATGGGTTCCCTAATCTTCTTGCTCACACGGATCGTGAAAGACATCCCTGTCTCCTCTTCCAGACGCATTAAAGCCATCTCAAAAATGTGAAAGCTAGAGAAATATCCATGGCACATGATGTCATGAAATCTCGCATTGAAATCAGCCATATTCGAAGGTACTGCAGTGAAGCCGAAAAAGCACCGCCAACAAGCACACACCAACAGTTGCCTCTTGAAAATTGCGCCCACATCAAACAAACTTCAAAATGTTAATCGTATTTACCTTAGATATTAATAAAATCGATAACATTGGTTCATTTATTATACCGCAAAATTACGTACTATCATATTAGAGTTTTCGATATTTCCCAACTAATGCATACTTTTAGCCTGTATTGTTGTGATGTATTTCGTATTCATCATAATGAAATACAGTTTAGTTGCAATATTGTTAGCTATCAAGTAAACAGCATTATTAGCTGTTTTGGTGGAATCTTGACCCAAAGGTGGTGTATTGTCCAGAGTCCTCCTTGAAGTCGAATAGAGTCATAAGACTGAAGAAGACAGTACTACTGAAGCACGGAAGGGTCAAGGACCAACTACCAAGGCATAAGGCCACGCCGCCTAACAGAAGTACAAAGGTGGAAGCATTACATACCCATAAAGCCAAAAAAGAGTTAAAGGAATAGTCGAGGCATGCCATATCCCCTCGTTACTTGCGCGCCGTCTCCTGAGCGCACTTTGGTCATACTCTCGCGTCGGTCATGACAAATTATTCAGAGCTATAAAAAAATGCCCACGTCCAACCACACCATTCATCAAATTCTAGTGCATCCTAGAGGATATCTGACTGCAACGTTATCGCTTTCTCTTGGAAATTCCACTGGATCTGGAGTTTCGCCCTGTTTTGAAATTATACTAAGGAAAGGGGAATGTGTTAGCCATCGCGTATGCTCATCGCTAGTGGTAAGGAAATTGCCCTAGAAGTAGTGATCTAATGGGGGACAAAGTTTACAACTGTTTTGTGGGGATAAGGAATCGCGTCTATTCCTCCTCGCTACTTTGGTTTCACTTCAGTGCTGCCCAACCATATCACTCTGGGCTCAAATCAAGCTTGTAGGGAGGTGGAGGAGGTATCGCGTGTCCACTTCACTGACGTCTTTACACAGGCACCGTAGAGAGCTCCGTAGTGAACTATTCCAGAAAGTTTACGGTCAGTATCGCCTCAGTCGTTGATAGCATTCCTGTAGTACACGGGACTGGAGTAGTTACCGAAGATAGTCATCATTTTCATACGCAGCATATACCCTTCTTCCTTCTCATTAAGGTTTAGCATTCAGTAATAGAAATTGGGCCAGCTATCCTTTGGAATGGGTTTGCTCTCTGCTGCCAATAATGTAGTTTGGCACCCCGAGTCTTACTGGAATTGAAGAGAAGTCATAATAGTAGGGCAGAAAACGTGTCGCTGAAATACGGAACGACTGAGGAGCTATTAGCATGGCCTAGAGTCCATGTCCCTAGACAAAAGTGCAATCACGGAGGCCTAAGCGTCCGCGTAATCCAAACACAGCGTCAAAAACAATCGAAATATCGCACTATCGTCAGTACTGTGCAATTACAATAATTTAGTACGCTAACTATATGCTCTCCATGCTCGGCGACCTTTAAGTAGTGTCGCTTTCCTCCTGGTCCTTCTCTTCCATTCCAGTCTTGCTTTCCTGGCCTTTTGTATAATAATTGACCTAGTCTCTACATTACTGCCACTTATCCAAAATTCATAGAGTCCTGGGGAAAGTACACATGAACCCGAACCTCAGAAGTAGCAAGCAAGCTCGAATCGTTTATACACCAAACCCACCGTTGGGCAGACATCCCCGCAGTAACACTTGTCAATTGGGTAGTCGCCACCTCCTTGCCCGACTCTACAGCCCCCTAATTGCAATTTCAGCCCAATTAACAGTTATCCCTTTTATTGCTTCTAATATAACATCACGCCTAGCATATTTAAACCAATGCTGTTGGAGTGCATTTGAACTCCATCCAAGTGAGCCAAATATGCTCGTCGATGACGTCGAACCAGTGACTGCTGTGTACATCCATAACTTGTAACAGCTATGAACGAAAGTCTAGCAGTTAGCCCTATCGAATTAGAGCAGAACCGACCGGGAAAAATCCAACCTCGATCTCGCACATTTCCGACCAGACTAGTTTCGAAGACGAAGTCGGGCACAAATCGAGCGCCTGCCCGTCCAGGTAACGATCAATCAAGAACTCTACAGTAATGAGGTATCCAAATTCTCTGAGAAGGCAGTTACACAAATACGTATATTCCTACAGAAAGATAAAAAGGTCGTAAGTATATCTAGCTGCGTCAGTCGATGGTGAGTACTAAATAAAATATTATAATAAAAGTAAACATGACTATCGTTGCGGAGTTTCGCAGACCAGCATTTGTCCAGAATGAAGTACTGGTGGTGGTGTGACAGGGGGTACAAGAGGACACTGTGGTTTCACCTGAAAAGAAGCAATCATTGATAAACACCTGCGTACGTACAAATGCAGGTATTCAGGTAGTACTCAATTCTGATTTGACTGATTACAAAGGAAATGAGCCTCAGCAGTCAAAAATACAAGATGGGCTACTGCTGAGGGCCTAACAGAAGATTTTGAGCAGAAGTCATTTACGATCAACCAATAAAGTTAACTCAAACGTGAATTTGAAGAGTCTGATATGGCTGCAATTGACAGCTTGCAGTGAAATAAACATATTTTTTGGAAAGAATCAAACCACGAGCTCAGAAATTTCAAAGGAGCACACGATGTGCAGAAGGAGCGGACTTGGCGGGAAAGAAGACCGTATCTAACTTTTTTTGCACAAAGTCTAGGTCGTATTGTACACGGGCGCAGCTCTGAAAACAAGGTCATGGGTTCTTTCGCATGCCACAAGTGATAATAACAAACGACTGAGGAACGAGAAAATGGTGGTCAGCATTTGAAAGAATGGTTCCCGATATTTGTGAGCAAATTGCCGGGTTGGCAATTAGGCTGAAAAATGTTACAAGGATCATGGTTTCAAGATAAACTGAATGGCGCTTTCCCATCCCCCATAGTAGTAGTTTAAGTATTACGACTGAAACATATGTGTTGAAATTTTTTTAAGAAAGGTGGATAGTGTATATTACCCCATTGCAACTAGAGAGTAGGTAAGTACGCATATAAATATTGCTCAATGGAGCTATCACGCATTAAAAGGCGCTATAAACCATAAATAAAGCGATGGGAAGTTACCTTTGGGGATTCATTTTGTGCTTTTTGCAAGGCCTGGCCGTTGGAAGAAAAGTTGAGGGGTCCAACCACGCCTTTATTTTTAAAGGAGGAACCCTTACCATTGAAAGCCGAGACAGCTCGTGGATGTGGTTGGCGTTGCCTTGAGGAGTCGAAATGAGGTTCAATCTTTAAAGAAGACCCAAAAGTTGTTCAAATGAGTGATTAACAACGCTTATATTCCACACAAAATGCTTGCAGGAGGAAATTACCCAGGATGGTTGCTCCTTTGAAATGACTGTCTTAACTATGGGATGTTTTGCCGTGCATTGGACGAATTCGTTGTTAAAAGGAATTTTGCTTGCAGAAACAGGAACTACGAAGTCCAAGGGAGGTATAAGGGATTCTTTGACCTTTTTCGGCATGCAGACAGTTTTTTTTCAAAATAGGATATGTCTGAAATGCTAACAACACGTAAAACGAACATCAAACATGTTGAAAAAGAAGCTAAATAGGTTTTCCACTTAATATAAACGCACCTACTAAATTGCACACAAATTTTAAGAGGCTATGACCAGCATATTTGGAAGGACTTATAATCTCAAGCACAATAAACTGGAAAATGAGCATGAGAGGGCGTGAAATAGGCATGAACCGAGCCAATGATCATTCGGGTTAAATGATGGAGTCAGGACAGGTCTTATTGAGACCGAGTGTGGTTCCTCCAAATAAGGACCTGTTTCAGATTTCCAAATTGAGTGATGTGTTCAAATTACAATTTCTACGGTGCCGAGCGCTTTGTTATGAAATTCTAGATGAATACGTGAAACACACCACTGTGACCTCGAAAACAATGTCACTCGTGGAATGCGATGATCTTTGAATAACGCACGTGCATTTTTATTTGGAACATGAGTGTGTTGCAAAAGATCGCCGAGATCGAGGCCGAAGCAAGTTTAGATTTCTAGCTTTGAAGCGAAACAGGCTTTGAGTAACTCTCTGTGCACTAGGATTAGTTACAATAGCATGCATAGTCGTTTACACCCATTTATTTGCAATCACTCGTCTTGTCTTCTGTGTTTTTGACTTTAAAGTTGCACTTCAGAGTAGAGCCCTAATTATCCGACCTACTGGAATGATAACTTTGCGTATTTGCTGTCTCTCTATTCCGGTCCTTAAAACCCTTTTGGTTCCTAACTATGGTAGATGGCCCGGACACAAAAGAACAAAGCGACCATGGGTCACATTGGTCTTTTGAAAGCTCGCTTGGCAAAGCTTCGGCGAGAACTAATAGAACCGAAGGGGGGTGGTGGTGGTGGCGGTGGTGAGGGCTTTGATGTTGCCAAGACAGGTGATGCTCGGGTCGGTTTTGTCGGTTTTCCCTCTGTCGGCAAATCCACCCTTCTTACTAACCTTGCTGGTGTCTACTCTGAAGTTGCTGCTTACGAGTTCACAACCCTCACCACAGTCCCTGGTGTCATCCGTTATAAAGGTGCCAAAATTCAACTGCTTGATCTTCCCGGTATAGTCGAAGGAGCCAAAGATGGGAAAGGTCGTGGTAAACAGGTAACGTGCTCTCCATCCAGGGACCTTTTACATTTTGTGGAATGTACACCTTGCATTCTTTGCAGATTTTTCGAATACTGTCATAACGAGTGGTATCATGGCAAAGTAAATAAATATACTAGCGATTTTTTTCCGCTTCATTTTGGCTAATAAACATGATCGCAGGTGAATGAAACATGGTTTGTTACTGTATTGCTTCTGGTAACAGAGTGTAAACATGATAACTTATGTCTCTGTGCTTCATTCGTCAATATTTTCTTCGTTATTTGACCTTTAGTCCACCATATCTATTGGTAAAAGGTTGCACATTTCATCTTATGAATGATTTTGAATCCTAGGTCATTGCTGTGGCTAGGACATGTTCCCTGATTCTGATGGTTTTGGATGTTCTCAAGCCACTTCAGCACAAACGCCTTCTAGAGCATGAGTTGGAGGGATTCGGTATTCGACTGAATAAGGAGCCACCCAACATCTTCTTCCGTAAGAAGGATAAGGGTGGTATTAATTTCCAGTCACTCGTGCCCCTCACTGAGCTCGACAAGGAGACCGTCAAGACCATTTTGAGTGAGTACAAAATCCACAATGCGGACATCACTTTCAAGTGTGACGCCACGGCGGAGGATTTGATCGACATTGTTGAGGGCAACCGCGTCTATATTCCTTGCATCTATGTCCTGAATAAAATCGATCAAATTTCCATCGAGGAACTCGACATCATATGCAAGTTAGTGGTGTGCAGGTGTAAGGCCTACTGAAATGTAATAAGTCGTTCATGTGGTGTCCAATGTGCCTTTGCAGAGTTCCACACTGCGTGCCAATATCGGCACACCACAAGTGGAATTTCGATGAGTTGCTGGAGAAGATGTGGGATTACCTCAGTCTAATCCGCATCTATACGAAACCCAAGGGTCAGCTGCCTGACTACACTTCTCCGGTTATTCTTAAGTCTGCCGCGCACACTGTGGAAGTATTTCTGTAACAAGATTCACAG